CTCCACGGTCTGGGAGGCAAATGCAATCCAAAGCACCTACAACTTCAGGGGACTGGAAGATATTTTTCAATTTCTTTTATGATGATGAGCAAGCTGTTAAATCTATTAATTTTGACGTCGCAGGCGTACATGGCTGAGTTTCAGTTGACTGATACTCCTCATCTTCTGTTGACTCAAATCTAAATGTCAACAACAAAAGTTCACCTTCTGTTTCATTAATGCCCTTGGTCATGCGTTCTTCATATCTCATTTTCACCTTTCTCTCTTTTTCTTCTAGTTGCTTCGTCCTGCTTTCTTTTACTGCTATTTTTGCATTGACTTCACTCATGCTGCAAGAAAACATCTCTTTTGCATGAGAAGGAATTCCTGAACTTCTACGTTGTGTATTTCTGTAATGAAGTCCTTTGTCGCAATATCAAACAATTCTTAAAGGTCACCTTTAAACATGTCTTCTTTCATTCTGCCGGTTTCTCGTTCTCGTGTTCGGTGTATCTTTAGAGCCAGATAGTTCTGATGCAGCTTTGATAGTTTTCTGACACATGAGTCAATACGCTGTGTTGTTATCCTCGCTCGCATCCATATACAAATAACTGCATCACAAGACATTTTATAACTTTCCGGAAGAGTTCGTCCTTTAGTTAAATGATGAAACTGGAACAGTTGAATTACATCCAGCTACGTGGTAATATTGCTGTATATAACTGAGAAATTGGTTTTCCAAATAGCCAGTGCTCTGAGTTGGATCTCAAACTAGATGAAACCATTTTATAGTTTAGTTTATTATTTAAAGAATTCAATGTCAGTTCAATATTAATTCAGTAACACCTTAATAATTAAAAAAACATTCACATAAGAACTCAGTACACAAGTAAGTAATTAAATTAATTTATAAATCATCAGAGTCGGACGAAAATGATATAAATGAGAAAAAGAAGTATGTCTTTGGGGATACCACATGTCATATCTAGTAAATTTGTAGTAGAAGATACTTCAATTTGCTCATACTGTTTACGATTGCTAAAATAGCTCTTTATTTTAGAAAATTATTACAGATTCCATAACTTTTTATTTTTTTAAATAAGAATCTCATGATCTATCGTATTGAAGGCTTTTGATAGATCAATAAATACTCTAAGAGTAAATTATGATTTCTCAAACAATCTGCAATATTTCTAGTCAGATGAAGCAATGCGTGTTCGATAGAATTATTTTTTAAAAATCTATATTGGGCTATTTTATATATAGAAAAATGATCATAAACTTTTTGTAAAGGATCCTATCAAAAATCTTTAAAAAAACAAAAGTACAGAAATTGGACGACAATTAGTTATATTTGAAAACTCCCCCTCTTCCCTTTAAATTTTGGTAACTTTAATCTTAAGTTGATCAGGAAATATTCTTTGTTATACAGAACAACTAAAGATCTTAAAGAGTATAGTTTTTGTAATCTCGTAAGAATCGATTATAATGTTACCATTTATTTGATCTTAACCGATGACTAGCCACTAATAGCTTGTTGGAAAGTTAACGGCTTGCCATTTATAGCGGTTGCCACTAACGGTCCACTTAGTAACCGATGAGCAAAACTCCAATAAACCTCTTATATATCGGTTAATTTGAGTTTTGCTCATCGGATAATAATGTATAATAACCGCCTCTATAGGTCCACTACAATCCACAGTGTTTTCTGGAATACTAAAATAAACTTTAAGAAAAATTTGAATTAATAAATGTTTAGATAAGAATTCGTAGTATCTTTGCCGGATGTACAAAAAGGTATTTGATATCTCTATATTTAGAATATAGCAGTTTGTTTTTAAATCCAGCAAAAATACTCCAACACAAAATAAAATCCTGAAAGGATTTAATAAGTACCTGATCGAAAGAACATTCTTAAAGAATGTAACAAACCTAGAGCTGAACAGGCAAGCAAAAATAAGGTTTAAACATGTCGTAATGATTGTCTAAAACCTTGATATTTATAACTATAACTGTACAAGAAACAATTACTTCACCTTAATGGTAAATTTTGTCGTAACTAACTAATAAAAAATTAAATTAATTTGCTTTTTACTCTGCATTTATATTAACTCTGCTAAACACATAGACATTATATGTTTTTGGAGTTGTTATTACCTAGATGCATAATTTTACATTTTTCAATAATTGTTTTAAACAACCATTTTATTTTTGGATAAAAGAATATTTTATTGCCTTGTTAAATAGCAGTTTATTTTTTCTAGTTTTGAACTGGAACTTTTGTTCAGTTAAATGAATGACAAATAAATAAGTCAGTCATTTTTTGACGTCAATTAAATACAAATGACTTGCACTAAATTAAGAGCTAGTTGTCTGAATTTATGCAAATCATGGTTTATACTACTATGTCCAAGGAAATAATAGAGAATCATGATTTATACTACTATGTCCATGGAAATAATATAATTCATGGTTTATACTACTATGTCCATGGAAATAATAGAGAATTATAACAAGATGCATAAGTTTTGGATAGGCTAAAAAAGAAAGAAAAATAAAAGTTAGTTTTAATTCGGTTGCAAACCTTCAACATCATTCTCTATGACCAGTTTATAAGGGTTTATGATGGTCATAGAGAATGATGTTGAAGGTTTGCAACCGAATTAAAACTATCTTTTATTTTTCTTTCTTTTTTAGCCTATCCAAAGCTTATGCATCTTGTTATAATTCTCTATTATTTCCATGGACATAGTAGTATAAACTATAAGCCAAAAACGTGATTTATGTTAAAAACCCAATGTTTATCTCTAGTGATAAAATGGTTTGAACATGTTAAATATTGTTGAATACTATTGATCAAACATGATATTGTTTAAATTAAAACTCCATCATTTCTACAACCGTCGACAATTTCTACAACCGCCTATATATATATATATATATATATATATATATATATATATATATATATATATATATATATATATATATATATATATATATATATATATATATATATATATATATATATATATATATATATATATATATTTTTTTTTTTTTGTTCTTATTACAATTTTATTTGGTATAATATCGTTTTACATAAAATAAAAAGAACACGGAAGCTCGAAGAGGATGGCAAGATCCTGTCACCGAGAACCGTTTAACAATGCCGTTTAACCGTTTAACAATACAAAATAAATAAAAACAAAATACCGATATTTACAATACAAGATTTTTAATAAGCCAAAACCAAACATAAAATACCGTTAAAAATGTCAAAATATGTAATAAAACTAAATATTTAAATAAAATATTTAAAAAAACTCGAAGATGTTATCAATTGTCAATATAACTTTTTTCAGTTTATTTTTGAAAGTAAGAAAACTACAATTTTTAGAAAAATCAAAGTTTTTTAACACTATTTGGTTCCACAGAAAAGCTCCGCGATATGATATAAGCGATCTTCCAAAATTTGTGTGCGAATAATGTTGATGAATAAGATTGTCATTTCTTAATTCATATTTGTTTCTTGGTTTTATTGCATATAAATTTAAAAAAAATATTGGGGTTAAGTTTATCTTACTTTTGTACATAAAGCAAAGAACATTAAAAACATTTAGTTGATATATATTAAGAATATTTATGTCTGTTAAAAGAGGTTTTGCATGAGTATAACGATCTTTAAAATTTATTAGACGTGCTAGATGCTTCTGTTGCCGATAAAGAGGTTCTAATTGACTATTATTAGCACTACCCCACGCAATGCTAGCATAGTTTACATGACATTGTATTAGCGAGTAATAAAGTTGAATTAATGCATGTCTATTTACAAAATTTCTCGCTTTATACAACACTCCAATATTTTTTGAGACTATTGCATAATGTTTCGATATGATTTTTCCATGTTAAGATTTCATCAATGAAAACACCAAGAAAATGTATAACTTTTGATTGCTTTATTTGAACATTGTCAATATATAATTGAGGCATATCATTTGGTAAAAGTTTTTTTTTGGATTTAGGATGAAATAGAGTCCATTGAGTTTTTTCTAAGTTAATTGATAATTTATTTGTCTTAAACCAATTTGAAATTTTAACTAACTTTATGTTTATGTCATTAAAAAGTGTAACAATATCACTACTGGACAGAAAAAGGTTAGAGTCATCGGCAAACATCACTGTCGTTAAATTTGAGGCATTATGCAGATCATTAACATAGACGAGAAAAAGGAGTGGCCCCAGTATAGACCCCTGTGGAACGCCACATGTTATATCTAGCAAATTTGTAAAGGAGAATACATCAATTTGCACAAACTGTTTACGATTGCTTAAAGAGCTTTTTAGCAAATTTAGAAAATTTCCGCTGATTCCATAGTTTTTAAGTTTTTGAATAAGAATCTCATGATCTATCGTATCAAAAGCTTTTGATAGATCAATGAAAACGCCAAGAGTAAATTGTGATTTTTCAAACGAATCTGCAATATTTCTAGTTAAATGAAGTATTGAGTGTTCAGTGGAATTATTATTTTTAAATCCATATTGACTGGTATTTAATATTTTATTTTTAGAAAGATGATCATTTATTTTATTGTAAAGAATCCTTTCAAAAACTTTTGAAAAACCAGAGAGTACAGAAATTGGACGATAATTAGTTATACTTGATAGTTCCCCTCCTTTAAAAATTGGTGAAACTTTGGCGATCTTTAGTTGGTCAGGAAATATCCCCTGTTTTATTAAACAACTAAACACTTGGAAAAGAATAGTTTTTATGTTCTCATAAGATGCAATTAAAATGTTACTATTTATTCCATCCGGGCCTTTTGCTTTATTAGTTTTTAGCATTTTGTAAGCACATTCAAATTCTTTCATGGAAATTTCAAAATTATTTAGTACTCAAATAAAAGTCCGATCGCGCAATCCTATTATTAAGCCGAATGCCAACTCAGAGGCAGAAAAACTCAGTGTAACGAAAACTTTAGGCCTGAGCGAATAAAAAATCTGAAAAGCGCGCAACAAATGAAAATTTGATTGGCGATTAGAGTTAAGATAAGCCATTTGATTGGATAACAGCCATGTTTTATAACATCGAATGCATGAGTTTTGTTCCCGCTCGAGTCATTTTATTTAAGTACTAAAACTAGTTTCTTTGTTGGTTATATTTCTGTAAAAGTGCAATGGTATGTATCAAAATGTTGTGTTTTTTTATCATCAATAATGTAAACATTTTAAAATTTAATTATCGTTTATAGGCTGGAGGAAAAGCAGGCAAAGATTCCAAACCGAAAACCAAATCTACTTCTAGGTCTGCCAGAGCTGGGTTACAAGTATGCTTTTTTAAATCTATTTTGATCTAAATTTGTCAGCAAAACCTAAAAAATTTTACTAAAAATTATGCTATCTAAAGTAACATTTTTTATGCGGCGAAACAGAACTACTTTAATAAGAACATCAGGGCTGAAGTTTATGAACTATTTAAATCAATCTTTTGAACTTGAAGCTTAATTTTTTTCCCAAATTTATATATATATATATATATATATATATATATATATATATATATATATATATATATATATATATATATATATATATATATATATATATATATATATATATATATATATATATATATATATATATATATATATATATATATATATATATATATATATATATATATTAGATTTAAATTTTTTGAAATATTTCATTTATTACTTCAAAAAAATATTTTATTTATTACTTCAAAGTCCTCTTAATAACTGAAAGTTACTTAGTTCTAAGTATTGCTTCTAACTATATTTATAAAAAGAAGTTTGACTCTGTTTTTATTGTAAGTTCGTAATAACTTAAACTCAGATTGGCTCTTATTAAAGTTACGCATGTAGATAAACTTTTTATCATATAAGAAATGTGGCTAAACAGGTGATTTAAAGCAATTTTAATAAAATAGTTAACACACTTGGATTAGGAAGTAGAACTGAAAGTAATTATTTTTTTTACAACATTTAATGTTATGTTTTTTTAAATGTTGGATCTGTAAACAACCCTTGTCTACTTAAAGATAAACAACAAGTTGAAAATATTCTCAGAAGTGTTATTTAGAGAATTATAAATAGGTATAATACTTACAATAATAATAAGGATAATATACCAATCATGCAAATTATGTGCATGAAATAATGATCTTTAATATGTTGAAAATAAAATCTGTCACTTCTAGTTATAGTAGAAATCTGTCACTTCTAGTCAGTAGAAATATGTGAGCATAGAAAGAGTAAGTTATTTTTTAGTTCTTGTCCTTCTTTGACTTTTTTTCTCTTCTTTTTTTTTTCTTTCTTTGCTAATTGTTATTCTGTTTAGTTACTTATTCTTTTAGTAAAATTTTATATATTTTATAATTAAATAAACAGAAACTATTTAAATTAGTGATTGCAATTGGGCTTAAACAAAGAGTCAATTTAAAAGATTCCATTCTTTTTATCAAACATATTTGGTTAACCCAACAAGTCCAATTGTTTACATTTGTCCCCACCTTTTTAAAATCAACAATTAGCTAAGTTATTAGTATATATGTTTTTTTTTTTTTATGTATTTAATTTTCTTTACAAAATTCACTGTTTGGCAGTATAAAAGTATATAACTTAAAATAATTTTTTTATATATAAAATAAATATCTTCTTTAATAATTTTTTTACATCTTCAGTGATTGAAATAAAGACCAATCAATGGTTGTCAACGGAAAAATTGATACTTTAAACTCCCAAAATTAATTATGGCCAATCAAATTTGATCACCAACATTTGGAAATCAAACTTTATAATAAAAAGAATTTTAACATTTAAAAAAGAATCTTAAAGTTATAAAATTAGCATTAAAACTTATTAATATTTATGATTGCTAAATTAAACAGTTTTAAGACCATAAAAATTTTTAGCAATAAAAACAGTAATAACAAAAAACAACAACAACTTTTTGATTGTCCTGAAAATTATTTGATTGTCTACTTTTTGATTTTTATCATTTCTGCTGATCAGTGTTGATCGGTAACCTTAAAATAATTATTTGGAGTGCTACACCATGCGCTTGATACATTATCTTCTAATAACTTACATAGGAGTTTTGATCTTCTTATTCTACTGCTGTTATACCGGAATGCCAGTATGGGCCCAAAATTTCTGCCTAAACTCAATTTAAAACAATTTTGTATTAGCATCAAGTTAGTTTAATAAAATTCTTTATTACTTATTGTGTTGCTATTTTGTAATGATAAAACTTGTTATCATAATTACAAAACTGTTTTTCATGTCATTTAGAAAAAGCAACATTTGCAAACAACTTTTAAAACAGATTATAAATATATTTTAAGACAATCATAATGTTAAATTTGAATTCACGCGGATGAGATGGAATATATCACTATTAGATTAAAATGTAAAATGCATGTTTTGATTAGATTAAAATATAAAATGCTGAGCATTAGCATATATTTTTCGCATATATTCAAAATATGAAATGCTTAGCTTAGCCAGTGACGTATCCAGGAATAATTTGGGCATACCGGTCTAAAAGTTCTGTCTATCTTAAAAGACTTTTTTTTTTTTTTTTTTTTTTACTCAAATTTAAATACAATTCTTCGTATATAATATATAATGGTTTATCGCTAATCGCTACTTTTCATTTACTTGCTCCATACACTTACTATTTATAAATTAATGCTAATTATTAAATAATTAAATTCCCAATATTAAATATTATCAACTAGAAATAAAAAGTACGATTTCATAAACAAACAATAACTATAACGTTTAATAAACAATATTTGTATGACTCTTTGATATAAACTTTATTACATAGCATATTTAAAACAAAGTAAATTCATTCGAAATTTTAATTCATTCAAAAATTCATAACTTTTTTTTCTAGTTCTACTCTTACTATTTAAATAAAGTATTTTGCCGCGAATATTAAAATGTTATTTTAATTATTTAAATAAATTTTATTTTAATTTTATGTTTTAAAAAATTTCATTCGTTTTATTATTTAAAGTATTTTACAAACAATTTTTACTGTTGTTTGAAATAAAAAAGTTTAAAACTCATCTAGTTTAATTGCTTCGAAAATTATGTTATGAAAACATAAGCGGAGGAGAAACTCATTAATGTATTTTAAAATGTTATTTAAAAATGCTAAGCGTTTCATATTTTAATCCAATCAAAATGTGCGTTTTACATTTAATCCAATTTCAACATATTCTATATTTCATCAACGTGAATTCGAATTAAGCATTTTGGTTGGCTTGAAATAATTTATAATGTATTTTAAGTTTTAAAATACTTTACTTTTAAAATACATTTATAATGTATTTCAAATGCAACTTTTAAAATACACTTATAATGTATTTTAAAAGTCGTTTTTCAAATGTTGATATTTATGTAATTGTAACAAACGCTAATATAAAAGTGTTTTAAATTGAGTTTGGGCTGAAATTTGGGGGCCCATACCGGTATACTGGTATCAAAATCGGCCTGGATACGTCGCTGTTAGCGTATATTTTTATGATTCCTCTAATAAAAACATTAACTAAGTATACTTATTATGGGTTTCTCCTCCACTACTATTTTCATAACTATAATTTATAATTTGATTAAACTCCATAAGCTTTGAACTTTCTCCTTTTAAATAAATAAAAATTGCAGTAAAAATGTTAAAAAAACAGTATTATTAAACTAAGTAAAAAATTTTTTAAATGTTATAACATTACTGCAATCACACCCAAAAACTTGATTTAATAAGTAAGAGAAAAAGAAAAAAAAGTTACTAACTTTTGAATGAATAAATATTCATTCAAAAGTTAGTAACTTTACTATGCTTGCGTTATGAATGAATTAATGACCTTGCTATGCTATAGTTCTACGTTTTATGTTTTTATAAACTTTAATTACTAAAATTTGTTTCCATAAGTTTACATGGTACATTTAACTTATGTAATATGGGTCGACCAAACACTTCTTGAAGGATCAAAAATAAAAATTTGCATACAGGTCTTTACACAGTAAAAATAACAATGCAAATTCTGGACCAAAGTCAATTTTTGAAGCATATGCTGTTAACTAAACTACGAAAGATACAGAACAAGTTTGTAAAGAGGGATATCAGCAGTTGATTCCTAAAATAAGAACAAATAAAAGCAAAATTAATATCAGGCATATATCAAACGAAAGCTGGACATTCTAACATATCAATTACTTGTTTCTGAAATGTTGGACATTCTAACATATCAATTACTTGTTTCTGAAATATACTATTTTTGCTTTTACTGGCTGATGTTAGTCCCAATAAATAAATTTGCAAAGTTTTTACAAGCCAGAAACCAAGTATACTCAAAGTTAAACTTATAATTAGACCTTTTTTTTAAAAAAGTCCATTATTTATCACTCATTCAAATAAATTTCTCAGTAAGTCTAAAGAGCATCAAGGACTAGTTTGTTGATTAAGAAAAAATTATTTGTTTAACATAATGTCAACATAAGAATTGTTGAGTTTCAAAGAAGAAAAAAAAGTGCCATTTATGAGGAGATTAAAATATGAAATTGATGCAGCAATGCAAATTAATGACGATGTATTTCATTTAATACAACTGGTAAAAATCATAATCACAACAAATTTTCAGCTAACATATTCAGTAAACTTTCCCAATTTTATGGCCATGCAAAACCTGCTGTTATTGACAAGGAAAAAATTGCACTACCAATGTTAAATCTTATTCTAGATAATAAAGACCATGTCCATCATATTCTCTCTGATTATAGTAAATATTAATATATGCTTTAGTATATATTTGAATATGTTTTATTAAATGTTGTAGTTACCAAGCTTATCTCGCAGAAGAAGTAGTAAGGAAATAAATTTGATTTCATTCTTTGTATTAGTTAGCAAATAAAACGTTAAAAGGAAAATAAGCTGTGAATTGATGTTGATGTTAAAGCAGTTAATGTAACAGTTAGTTCTTTCTATTTCTATTGTTAAAAAAAATAAAAGTCAATTTTAAGGTATTAAGTTTTTAAATATTTAGGCAAATAAAAAAAATTCACAAAACGCAGGCAGACCAGTTAGCCCATAAACTTCTGGATGTCACTGCAATGGATCCACTGTTATTGTAAATGGCAAGCACAACAGATGGTTGCTAAACAATTTTTTTGTTAATTTTTTGGCTAGGAGTTACTACATCTAGTCTTGTTTATTATGGGTAACTATGGGGCAATTCCATGTGAAGACATCTTTTTTTTAAATAGATGTTGTCTTGAAAAGGTTATTTAAAGTTGTTACAAAGAATTAAAGAGTGGTCTTTTCTTAAATAGAAAACAACCGTAAAATTCACATTAATTTTTTTATTTATAAAACAGGAATTTTACAGTCTAAGGAAAAAAAATGTACTATTAGGTGTTTAATACATGGTTTATTAATTTTTTGGGAACTTTCTCACCCACCCTGAACATTTTAAGTCCCCCTCCCCTAATATACCAAATTTTTCTCAATATCAACAAGTAATTGACTTGTTGATAACGTTGATAAATTGACTCGTTATCAACAAGTAAAAAACCCGCGGTGCTCTATGATAAGACCGTAAGGACTTCTGGGAGCACCTAAATACATACAAAAAAATTGCTTGATATCACCTTTTTTCCAATATTAATTTGAACCTGTCTGTCCCCAAACACTGCTCTCATAATTACGGGCATTAATCTATAAAATATCAAAGCATTAAAACTTGGAACTACCTTGCTTATGAACTTAAAAGCTCTTAATTCACACTCAACCTTTAAAACCAGTTTATTCTACTTTATATTAAACAAATTTAGTTAATGTTTATAATTTCTATAACAATTTTTTGAAATTTTTTGAATTTCTATTTTATATTTTATATTGCTTATTGTTATTTTTATTAATATTTACTATTAATAACTACTTTAAACTATTATTACTAATATTAATATTGTTGTTATTATTATTGCTATTATTATAATTATTATTATTAACATTGTTATTTTTATGTTATTAAGTTTATTGTTATTATATATTGTGAAAATTAGCATTATATTTATTTTTAGATATTTATATATCTAAAAATAAATATCTATAAATTATAAATAAAACTAAACTGAAATCAAAAAACTAAAAAACAAAATTGTTTTCAAATTTTTGAGACCAGTTTATAAAATCAAATCCTAATGTTTATTAAAACTAATTGGGGGTGAATTGAATTATAAAAATGCAGATGTATAGTCAGGAGCTATTCTAGGAATAAAATTTGGGTGGCGGTACCCCTGGACTGGCATTTGCATAAAGATATTTCCTTTAAAATACACAATATTAAAAAAAATTAAAATGATTATCTTTTTAAATTGTTTGCCAGTGTTTTATCCAATTGTTTATCCAATTGTTTGCCAGTGGCCAACAATTGGTTAAGATAATCATTTTAATTTTTTTTTTTAATTTTGACTGCAAGCTGTTAGTAGTGGCTTTCAAGTATGCTTCACAATTTATCTTGTTTTGTACATATATTTTTATTCTAGGCACATTTAATTTGCTTTTTGTTAAGTTTTAATAATCTGCCTAATAAAGAACAAATAAGAGCCATATTGTGTAATTATAAAAGGTTATTGTTTTACAAAGTTAAAAAATCTTGAGTAATCTTTGATAAAAAAAAAAAACTTAAGATTTTGTTTTGAAATACAGCAGTGTTTTTTAAAATTTACTATAAAATAATTTAAAATACACTATAAAATTTAACTTGTAGTATTATACAAGTACTTAGCTAAGTAAAAAGTTTAACTTGTAGTATTAGCTAAGTAATTACAAAAGTCTTTTGAAGAAAAGCATTTTTTTTTATACATTAAATGAGTTTTGTTTTGGACCTAATTTTTTAGTTACTATTTATAAAAACAATGGTTTTAAGCACTTTTGCATATCTTATTGATTAATAATGCGTGTTTAAAACTTATTTAATTAAAAAGTTCATTTGTTTAGCTTCCTATTGAAATAAAGTTTGTTTTTGCTTTTTAAGAGGTTTACTATTCGAATTTTAATTAGTTGTCAATGTTGTGCCATCCAAATTTTGTTCATAAAAATGTGCGGTCACAGCCAAAAGATTTTTGTTAAAACAACTGGTATTAAAAGAGTTCTTACAGCAATATTAGGCCACATTGCTATAATGGCAAGTGTTGTTGCCAATTCAGCACGTGATGTTTCTAATTTTGCACATATTTAATTGTATTAAGAGTTGTGATGGAAGTTGTAACTGAAGGAGGAGAAATGTTTATAAAACATTGGCCACTTGCTCTCATAATTTAGCATAATAAACTTACAAAACTTTTTAAATCAATAGACAAATCAAGTTAAATATTTTTGCCCAGAAACTATAAATGGTGGAATGGTGATAAGAAAGGAAGGGGTTTTGGTAAACAGGTAAGTAGGAATTTTTATATCTATAAGCAAGTTAATATTTTCTAATTTTTAAAATCTAAACTGGTTTTAAAAATTAGAAAATAATAACTGAATTTTTTTTTTAATTATGAGATTTAGTTTCTTAATTATTTCATAACAAATAAAATTTAATAAACAGGAGATGAGGTCTTAATAAGCTCATGGTAAATAATAAAATTGTCCTAAAATTTATAAGCATCAACTCCCGTGTATGCACACATAAATAATAATAAATAAATAAAATCAAGCAACATTACTATTTTTATAATTAATCTTGCCCCAGCAAAATTGCAATTGAAATTTAAGTTTTCAGGTGTTATGTTTTTTGAATATTTGAAGTTGTTTTATTAGATTCTTTGCCTCAAAAATATGCAAGAACATATTCTCAGCTTTCTGTTGCAATCAGAACAGAAAGTAAGACCAAAACCATTTTCAAAATGGCATTTTTTTTGTTGGTTCAAAGCAAAGTTTATATCAAAATAGTTATATCTTTATAACGATATGTGATGAGATGAAATTTTAAGGATGTTCAAAACTTATTAAAATTTTTGAGTGGTGTAAAAATCAGCAAAATTTGAGACTTCATGAGGTTGCATGAGATTGTTGATGCCCTGTTTTTTTTTAATGATATTGAAAGTTCAGTGATCTCCTATTTTGGAGATTGGAGTTGGCTGTCCAGATCACCAGATCTAACAGTGCCAACTTAACTTTTGGGCTAAAATCTTGCGTTAAGCACAAACTGAATCATACAAAACTGAAAATCTAACATTGAAGAAGTGAGCATCAATTTTTAGCTAGATGTTTTGCAAGCAAAAATTCAAATTGCTCTTAAATAAGCGCAATTATGCATCAGCTCATGAAGTGGCAATTAGAGCGATATAATTTTTTCCAAGTAACCAATTGAATTTGTCATTTCGAAAAGTGCACAAGTCCAAAACTTTTAACAGTCAATAGATTTTAAACTAAGAATTTCTTAATAGTTTTTTTTTTATATATATAAAAAATAAAACTAACATAAGTTATATACGTTGTTTATTTATCTACTTCTATGTTTAATTTCTCTAACAGCATAGACATTATTTTAATCAAAATCATGTTTTGGATGATTTTTAAAAGTTTTAAATGGACTTGTGTCCTTTTCGAAATGACAGGTTCAAGTGTACTTTTTCATATTAACTTTAAAAACAGAGTCTTTTTTATTTATAACAAAATGGTAACTAATTTAAATTGAGTTTTATGCCACCTTATATTTTTGTTTGTTTATTTGTTATTAATGCGTTATATAATAAGTTATATTTACATTTAAAAATCTTTAGGTTAATTGTAACTGAACTATAAGTTGTTAACTGTAAGACCCTTTTATTCATTAAACAAAATTTTTGTTTCAAGTTTCCGGTTGGTCGTATTCATCGTTACCTGAAATCGCGTTCAACAAATAAAGGGCGTGTTGGTGCAACTGCTGCTGTATACAGTGCTGCTATTCTAGAGTATCTTACTGCTGAAGTGCTTGAGTTAGCTGGCAATGCATCCAAAGATTTAAAAGTAAAAAGGATATCTCCTCGACATTTACAACTTGCTATTAGAGGAGATGAAGAATTAGATTTATTGATCAAAGCTACTATAGCTGGAGGAGGTTTTTTTTTTTTAGTTTCTATTTATGTAGTCAAGATAAAGTTATGGCACATTTCTTCATGCTTTAATATTCTCATTAATTTTTTTCATGATGACTTTATGTAAATCTTGTTTTTAGGTGTCATTCCACACATTCACAAAAGTTTGATGAACAAAAAGACGGCGAAGCAAAATTAAGATTGTCTTTTAACAATTATTTATTTTGTATATTTTCTGCTATCTGTATTATAGGACCTCTGCATCGAATCTAAATTGTTAAAATTATTTGGTTTTGTAGAATATTAAAACATTACAATTTTTAAATACAGTTTACGCTCATGATAAGTGTATGTGTGTTAACACATTTGCTATTATATTTGGGTTTTATTTTAATTAACGCAATACTTTTTAATTTGATGTAAAACATTTTTAAAGGTTTTTGCAACACTAATAATATTCTAATATGTTTAACAGTTGCTATTTTAAACCTATTTTATTACTAACTTATAGTTATAGCAGTACTCTATGTAAATGTAAATAAAAGAAAATATCTTTAAAGTTTATAAATTTCTGATTGTGTACCGAGATCCCTACTGTCTTTTCGTGTTGTGAACCCGGAGGTAAAGGAGCCCGGCGGATATACACTATCAGAATGTCCACTCTGCTGGAAAAACTGTAAGAACTAGAGAGGACTGTTTTTGGTAAACATGCTAAAATAACTGGAAAATGTATTTTTTGTGCATCATTGATTAAATGATGCACAAAAAATGCATTTTCCAGTTATTTCATCATGTTCTTTATAAATAGCCTCATGCGTTTTTTCAGCATAGCTAAGCGTTAAAATTATGTATTGTAGTCAGGACAACCTGACTACAATACATAATTTTTATACGTTCATATGTATTAACTGAATTAACATACTATGTGTTCAGTCGTGGCGAAAAGTTTGGTTTCACGGTATTAATTAAAAGTTTCATTTTATACTGGAGTAAAAAAAAAGGTTAGCAAAAAACACGTAACAAATGTTTTATACTATTTATCAAAAACTACAATAACTGTCCTTTAGCCTTTAGAACAGCTGCTAATCAATCAGGTCGACTCAAAATTTGTAGTTAAATTTTTGGAATTTTCCCACCCACCCTAACCTTTTTAAGAACCCCCATTTATTAACTTGAACTTGTCAGCATAGATTTTTCTCAAAATAAGAAAAAAAATCAGCGAAAATCATTTAAATTTATAAAACACTCAATGCAACCAAAGCATAAAACAAACTCGTATAAAAAAAAAAGCCGATAATTTAAAACAAATTTGATTGATTGATAGTGGCAAAACGAAAAACTTAGTTATTAGTATTTAATTTATGCAATCAAAGAATTCAAATCGAGAGTTATTTAAAAAGTTTACCGCCTCTGTTTTTTATTGCTTACGCATTCTGAATGGAATAATTTATTACTTTAAGATGGCCTAATATGTCCCGAATATTTCAAAAAACTATACTAAATTCCGAATACAGATTTTAAAATGGGATTAAAAGTTATGATCATTTATGCAAAAACGACTGGTAGAAAAATTAACAATACTAAAGGTTATTTAAATCAAACGTGGCATTATTATTAAACATACTCATTTAGGTGTGGTATTGAAAAAAGTAACTACAATTTTCATAAAAATATGGTTTTTCATGAATAATTTTCTCATTATAAATGTCAAGTTACATTCAGCATCAATACGTGCTTTTATGAAAAAATCAAATTATAGATTTATCTAAAGCCAAACCCCAAGGTACTTTATGTTGAAAACTGCATCTTTTCTAAATAAAATTACGCTTCACGATTTGTCAAGCCCCATTACTTTAACCAGTTTATAATAGTGGTTAAAATAATCTTTCCGCACATACCAAATACGTCATACTTTTTGATGAAAAAACATTCATATATTGTAGTTGAAAAAACTTAAATTTTTGTTCGGAAAAACATGTACCAGGCCTTAGTTGCATTGAGCATTTCTTTTAGTAACTAATAAAATACAAGTTTTCAGTGTAAACAGGCTTTAAAAGTCACCGACCAGTAAATCTTGATTTGTCGAAAATTGAGTTTTTTAAATTTCTCACTAAAGCATTGCCCAGGGATTTAGAAACACGGGCGGTTTTAACAAGCTCATTTTGAAAAAAAATTAACGATTTTAAAGCTGATACGACGTAAATTAACTTAAAATTTTTTGTTTTGAGAGTTTTTCCTGACGTTTTTGAACATAACTTATATATATATATATATATATATATATATATATATATATATATATATATATATATATATATATATATATATATATATATATATATATATATATATATATATATATATATATATATATATATATATATATATATATATATATATATATGTATATGTATATACCCATATAGTGTAGCTTACAGAGCATTTTAATGTCTTACGACTACAATTTTAATTACCTCGTCTCTTAAGCTGTTTTTGATTGTCATCGAAATGTCAAAGTAATTAATTTATGCGGAAGTACATTAAAATTAATTGTTTTTTAACATATTTTTAAAAAACCGCAATTATAACGACTAGAAAGTTTTTTTTAATTAGTGGTGTTTTTGTTATTGATTTAATAAAAAACATTTTTAAAACATGCGTAAATGTTGCTACATCGACTATCTTATAGCCTGACTCGCAACGGAGTGCTGCTACATCGACTGACAAATAGCCTGACTCGCAACGGAGTGCTGCTACATCAACTGACAAATAGCCTGACTCGCAATGGAGTGCTGCTACATCGACTGACAAATAGCCTGACTCGCAAGGGAATGCTGCTACATCGACTGACAAATAGCCTGACTCGCAAGGGAGTGCTGCTACAACGACTGACAAATAGCCTGACTCGCAAGAGAGTGCTGCTACATCGACTGAGGGTTTGGTTTGGCCAGGCAGTCTATCAATTGAAAAAAAAAATTATTTCAAAACTTTTTCTGGTCTGGTTTATTAACGCGATCTCTAAAACTACAGTTTATGGGAAACATTTTTTGATGCCACGCAAGAGACATGCAAGAGTATATATATATATATATATATATATATATATATATATATATATATATATATATATATATATATATATATATATATATATATATATATATATATATATATATATATATATATATATATATATATATATATATATATATATATATATATATATATATTAGGGTGAGTCATAAAATTTTTTTTTCTTGTTACAGGCTCTAAAGATTGCTAGAAAGTTGTTTTTTATGGGCTAATTTAGGAAAGTATTTACTTTTATGGATTGAACAATGTCTTTCCACCCTTCCAGGCCCTATTATTATTCAAAAAAAAAGTTTTTCAAAATTATGTGATGTAGGTACTCAAATAAAGCAAAATTTTATAAAAATTTCAAAAATAATATTTTTTTAATATAAAAATTATTATTTTAGATTTTATTGCATAATAACTATAGTTTTTAACTAAAAGTGAAAAAGGTGCATTTTTACATGTTTTTTAATAACAATTTTCTTCGGCAATATGATTTTTATAAAACGAATAATATTTTCGAAACTTTTATAAAATTTTGCTTCTTTTGAGTACTAGGTTGACCTACTTTTAAAAAAAATTTTTATCTCCAAAATATTAGGGTACCGGTAATTTTCCCAATAAAGTTGCGCCCTTTAAATCTATCACAATCATTCTCATATTTGATAGTATCAATATTAATAACTATTAACAATGTTTAGAGCCTGTAACAAGAAAATTTTTTTTTTGACCCACCCTAATATATATATATATATATATATATATATATATATATATATATATATATATATATATATATATATATATATATATATATATATATATATATATATATATATATATATATATATATATATATATATATTAGGGTGAGATACGCAACCGATCTTCGAAATATTTAAATCATCAATTAAAACAGGTACTGTACCAGATAAATTAAAACAGCTAAAATTATACCAATTTTTAAAACAGGCGAAACATCTTTATTAAGTAATTACAGACCAATCTCTATACTGCTTACTTTCTCTAAAATACTTGAAAGAATAGTCTACAATAGATTATACGAATATCTCCTTCAAAATAACCTCTTAAACAAAAAACAATTCGGGTTTCAAACAAAACACTCAACCGAACATGCCATTTTAGATCTTGTAAATAGCATGAATAATTCTTTCCATAAAAAGCAATTTGTATTAGGGACTTTTATATCTAAAGCGTTCGACACAGTTAATCACAATATCTTACTTAAAAAAATGGAAAAATATGGTGTTAAAAATATATCCCTTGACTGGTTCAAAAGTTACCTGAGTAGCAGAAAACAATGCGTTGTTACATAATAAATATTCAGACCTACTAGAAATAAAATGCGGAGTTCCCCAAGGTTTCATTCTTGGTCCCCTTTTATTTCTAATATATATCAATGATCTTCCAAAAGCCCTAAAAAAACTTGATGTAATAATGTTCGCTGATGATACAAATTTATTTTACTCATCGCCGTCTATAAGCGACCTTTACGAATCTATGAACACTGACGTCGAAAACCTCAACATCTGGTTTAAAGTTAATAAACTATCTTTGAATACAGAAAAAACAAAATATATCTTGTTTCACTCCAACCGCCTTAAAAACTTTATACCAGACACTCTACCTTTACTAAAAGTTGATAACATAAACATCAAAAGAACTGAAATAACTAAGTTTCTTGGAATAATTATTGACCAGAATATTAATTGGAAAGCCCATATTAATACAATAAACACAAAAATATCAAAAAGTATCGGCGCACTCTACAAAGCCAAACCTATGCTTTCCCAAGACAACTTAAAAATTCTCTTCTTTTCTTATATTCAAAGTTACCTAACATACGCTAATATTGCATGGGGAAGTACCCATAAAACAAAATTAAATTCACTCTACATACATCAAAAAATGCATTAAGATTAATTTATAATAAATATAAATTCACTCATGCCGACCCTTTACTTAAAAATTTGAATGCATTAAATATCTATCAAATAAATATTTACCAGAATATCTTATTCATGCTAAAATACAAACTCGGACTTGTTCCGAAATACTTTACTGATAACTTTTTTTATATCAACGCAAATAAATATATCACACGAGGAACAGGCAACTTCACCCTGCCTTTAAAAAAAACAAAATTCTCGCGATTTTCTTTAATATACCGTGGCCCATACTTACATAACAAAATAATACTTCAAAATATGGAACTTAATAAAATGGATAACCTTATTGCTCTGAAAAAAAAACTAAAACATATCATAATTAACTTAACCAACTTCATCAAAATGTATTAAACAATTTGTGAAAAATAGTAATAATAAAAAGCCCTACTACTTCTACTATATAGTAGATACCAAAATACTTATGTGTATTTATTGAACTAGTTCATTAAAGTTTATTTTATGTTTTAAAGGTTCTCGATGAAAAGACTATTTTAGTCTTCTGCGAGTTTCCTTACAACA